GCTAAACATTCCATCATGTTTTCCGGAGCTGATGGATAGGCAAATCGCACCAACCTGGCAATATCTACTTCATATTCCTGAAGAGTCTCGTCTCGTTTCTGTTTACGATTCTTCAACTGTGACTGGTACAAATGCTTCAAGTGTATCGCATATTTAGTCTCTTTTTGAGTTGTTCAAAATCATCTGTCTCTTCCACGGGTATAGTCTGAAGGACATCCAAAGCGTCTCCTCGAAGGGCGATGGTCAAATTTATTGCCTTCTCTCGTTCAGACCACTCGTTTGCTCTGGCAGCTGTTTCGAACTGCTTAAGGTAGTTCGTCCAAGACATCTTTCCGTCAAAAGTTGGGGCTTTAACACGAGGAGAGTTTACAGCTCCTTCCAATTTCAACTTCGACTCCACCTCATGGCACTTTATTTCACCGTCCTTGGCCGGTTCTGCATGTTCGAGTTCTTCTATCTTCTTTTCCATTTCTTTTATTTTCTTCTCTACAGAAGACATCTTGTTTTCCACATCAGCAGAGATTTCATTTTTTAGAGAAGATATATCAGAAGAAACTTTAGTTTCTAAAGTAGAAATTTCGTTTTTCACGGAAGAAATATCAGAAGATACCTTTTCTTCTAAGGAAGAAACTTTACTATCTAAAGAAGAAATGTCCGACGAAACTTTATTTTCTAATGAAATAATGTCAGAAGAAACTTTACTTTCTAAGGAAGAAATGTCTGAAGAAACTTTAGTTTCTAAGGAGGAAATATCATTTTTAATAGAGGAAACATCAGAAGAAATATCGGTTTTTAAAGCAGACATTTCAGACGAAACTTTGGTTTCTAAAGAGAAAATTGAAGAAATTATAGAAGAAGCGTCATCCGAAAATAAATACGTTTCCGGATCCAAACCCTCACTTATTAATTCTTCTTTAAGTCGCTCTGCCAGTTCTGCTTTTTTCCCTGTTGTCTCTAACTCACGATCTTCTAACTCCCGACGTAGCTCGGTCACTTTTAAATCACACAGTCTTTTAGCTATTAATGTCCACTATTTATTTACACTATTCCACTTCTTGACACCAATGTGACGTTTGTTTATTTTAAAACAACAGTTTATTTATTAATAATTTATTTATACACTTATTTATTTTATAACACTACTATTTCTAATTTATATATATTTCTAATGTCTTTGAATCGTTCACTATTTATATTCACAGTCCAATACTTTATTGTCAGCTGTCTATATATCACTGATTACTATTTATCTTCACTGTCCATATAATACTTGATTGCACCGAGTTCTTCCGCCAATTTATATACAAATTTAAAAAATGGTGGGGGCTCCAGAACGTTCTAGTAATTTTCACATATTCTCTCCAATACACTAGAAACATTATCTCGTCCTTTCTCGAACATCATCGAAAACACGTCCACCATAGTTGTCCCATAGGTTTGGTCTTAAGGGGTTCAATTATGTATAATAAGCGGACAAGTTGAGCCTCAAAGGCCAAATAATACAGAGAGGGACTTGGAGTATTAGAGCATGACTGAATAATGAAATGGCTCACATTACATTGTTTTAGGAGAATTGGAACAGAGATCCATTGTTACAGCTACTTTTGTTCATTAAGTAGGTAGATGAATGTTTCCACAGCTTTAATGGCAGCACAAAGTTCCCTCTTACTAGAAAAGAAGTAAAATGTATGCTGAGTAAAAAATCTCTGCACATGTAGTATTGGCAAAGGACTTTTGAAATGATTAGAGATTGGTTATTTCTTACATGCACCTACCTCTAATAGCCACTCTAGTGGCTATTAGAAGATTGTAGAGTCATTTAAACGAAGAAAAAAAAATCAATCATAAAAGGGCAGAATTTTAAATCAAGATGCATTGGAAAATAAATTTGGGGACATCAGGTCGGTTTTGGATTTTAGAGAGATCAATCTCAAGAAAAGTAAATTTGTCCTGCAGAATAACCAGTAGTTTAAGTAGGATCTGCTATAACTTTATTAGAAGATTTCCTTGATAATAAATTGTAATATACCAATTTCAAATGAAATTAAAAAAGAGTTAAATTCAAAATTAGATTTTTCATGGGTAAAATGTTATATTCATTCAAACATCGTAAGGTAATCTATAATTAAAGGAGTATGGAAAATAGGTATACCCTGGTAAGGGATAACGACAAAAAAATTACAATAGTGTTTATTATTAATATTATTTGCTATTTTTGAAAAGTACCTCCTGCTTCAGAGCAGATCGAATAGATTAGACGACTAGTTGGAGAAGGTCCACTAGTCACCAAATTAGGAGACTAGGAAAACTTTTACATGACTGGGGACACAACAGGAATGCACACACACAAGATACACAGACGATATAACAGGGGTAAGCCTTCAGCAACGTCCTATTTAAATGATGATAGTATGTTATCCTTCATTCCCTTTTAGAAGATATGGCATATAAATCTATTGATATTGATGACCCTAAGAGGAGTTAGCAGGGGGTGTACGGAATGGGTCTAGCGGGTTTCGATCCAGTTTACAGGATGGGAACTTACTCGACTCGGGCCTTATACATTTGTGTGAGTGTATGTGTGTGTTTCGTTTCCATGATTTCTATTAAAATAAACAGTCATAACTTTATAAAATATTTGTTACATTATTTTTAAAATATATTATAACAACTGTGACTTTCTTTGTAATTTGTCACAAAATAATACGAGGTACTTCCTAAACGTAGCAATTGTAGTTTGTTTTTCTGTACCTTACAAAAATATAATTTATAGAAAAAGAGTTCGATGTATTATTGTTCCAAGTTTAAATATTTAATTTTCAATAGATTTTTCCAATTTTTTTAGCGAAATTTACAAGAGTAATAAAAACTATGTTCACTGCTTAGATTAAACTGAATAAAACTTCCTTTATTAAAACGTTTATTTATATGATAAAAAATTTGATATTATTGGAAGCTTTTACATTTTTTAATATACAGTGAAACAATAGTTTTTGTTTCTCCTGTAAATTTTTATAGAAAAACTATTTCTGAATCCATGTTTGAAATTTCTGCCCTAAAGCATTTTTAAATTTTCCCGCTATTTACTAGTGGCGCCATCATAGACTGGTTGTGGTTACAATCGCCCAAACAACTTTTACCGAACAAAAAAAATACATTGAGTTACACGTCTCGCTGGGTTGTCTCTGACGTTGAATGAATGGATTTAGAGCCCTTTTTTAATTAACGTCTCGGTGGTAGTTGGTTTTTTAGTTGTGGTGGTAGTTGGTTTTTTGACGACTTCCATATAAAGACTCCATTCCCCTAACATCATCTTCATCGAGGGATATATTTTCTTCATGATACCAAGGATACATAATTTCATTTTCATTACTACGATGTGATAACCCTAGCGCATGTCCTATTTCATGAACAAGTACCATAAATAAGTTGAATTGTTCTTCGTTTACTTTACCATCGTATCCAAGATACCACTTTATTTTGTTATTAATATGAATCTCTGTACATGGATTAGCTGATGGAAAAATCGAGTGAGCCAATATATTATTCTGATAATCAAATGGACATGCTTTTTTGCCATAACAGCTAACACGTTAATTATGTTGTCCTATTGTCAAGGTTATAGTAATAATATCAGGCCTTGGATTAAGTATACAAACATTAGGGGTTATAGGTTATGTTAAAAAGTAACCTCTAAAAAAGCTGTAGATTTTTACTTGATCTATATATCGCACCCCTTTTTCAATAGTGCCATATCCCATTATGAATATGCCTACAATACATAAAAGTGCCATATCAATAGCTCTAATAAATTCCGCGCGAGGCGCCATCAACAGTACTGTCATATCATATAACAAAAATATAATGTTATTTTCTACCTTTTAATCTAACCAACTCACTCATGGCTAATCTGTTTCAAGTTATACACGACAAATTTTAAATGTATGATTTACAACCACTCATCGGTTCCTTTTAACAATGTTGACAAATTTACCTTTATTCTTTTTGGTGTACATTTTTCCACCGAATTCGGAGGCAACTATACCTTTAAAAACTTTTAGTAAGTCTTAGTGTTCTCATCGAGACAACCCAAATTACACGATTAAAAATTCCACCCGCTCTTATCTTAGTGATTATTTGAGATATTGAATTGAGTTTTTTTAATGAAAACAGCAAAGGTGCTAGGTTGCTTTCAGGTTACTTCCTGTGGAATAGGTACCACTTATATCAATGAAATTAACTGATTTATAACTACGAAATTCAACAAATAGCGTTATGTCATATCGGTACGACTTTGGTAAGTTAATAATATGCTGACCTATTCACGAGTATGTCATGATAAATCTTATCAAAAAGTCCGTAAAGACGGTGTATCCATCTGTGGTTTAGTATTTACTATAGGCCTGCTGCGGCTTCGTGTAGTGTAAAAACAATTTTAATCTATAATAAATGCACAAGGTAACTGACATATTTACCTTTTGTTAATGAAACCATAATGCTTTGATATCATAATTCAGTTTTATTAAATTGGGCAGAACCCTATTAAATAGATGACATATCTCAAAAACTTCGAAAAATTCCTTCTATTTGCACCAAATATAACATAAAATATTTGACATGCTTTCAATATAAAATTACGAAATATAAACTCCTTTAAAGGGTTCCATATGGAAAAGGGAATCTCATTTAAAATGCATAGGTCAGTAGGCATTTTCTTGATGAATTTTTTAACAAGATATCTGAAGAAATGAGAGCCAATTGATATGAAAAACGTTTTATCCTAATAATTCGTTGTTCCTTAAATTTTCATATTAACACCCTGTATATTATGTAAACAAAATTAACATCACAAACGCTGTAATTATAATACATTTTTATAACCAGTTATACATTGTTTTCTATTAACAGACTTGTAAACAACCAATCCTTTGAGGAATAATAATTAGATAAGCTATATCGAGATATTCAGAAAACCTTTTTAAAAATAAAATCATACGTACCAATCTATCAAACTTACACCTAAGAAATACGGGCACACACTTATTAAAAAGTAATGTCAAACTCATTAGAAACGTAGATTAATATTTCTTCCGTTAATGAACGTTTAAAGTTTTTGAACTAAACTGAATACCTACCATGCATCGAAATTAGACCTGTTTACAACGGAAATTCCCGAGTACGGCCATAATTATCGTCAAATTTCGAAGAAAACATCCAAGTTGAAGACATTTGATAAGTAAATAATACAAATCTATCAATAATGATTATTGCCGCACCGATTTTCTTGTACAGTTTTTGCGTCGCGATATACTGTCTCTAACTGTATTAGATTATCCTAATGGTTTTCTTGTTGCCTTTAACAACCTTCAAACTGTTAGATGCAATCTTTAACATTAATAACGGGTTACGGGTAATTACATCACATCAAAACAGTATTTAGTTCTAGAGGAACATTTTTCCTAAATTATTAGGTACTGTTTGCGTCATATGAGTTTTTTTTATGTACGAGTACATCCTATAGATATCACTTATCTAATATGTTTTCTAATTTTACGGGACTATTAATTATTTTGAATACAAAATATATTTGTTGTTTTATCTTTTTCTTACAATCCATAATAATAGCATTTCTAGATTCCCCTGGATACTGCTAAAACCAGTAGCGGCTCGTGGTTAAAGACATTAGGTGTTCTGCAAGATTCTGTCGCCCACAAAATAAAACAATTATTGCACAGCTTTTATTCATCTACTTTTTATACATTAATTATATTCCACGCCTTGTTCTCAATAATCATAGGTAGTACCCCCCTTTTTCCCGATCTGTGGCCACGTATTTTAAAGTCTAAATACCCTCAAAAGTATTTAGAAAGTTCCAAAATAACTGGTTGTGCGAGTTCTTCCCACCTCTGCTCCCGTCCCGTGGTAGTCAGATACACTCTTACGTCATTCTTTCTTTTCGTGCACCTGTGGTTACACGTAAATGATTTGATTATCATTATTAATTATCAAAAATACATAAATGGGTAAATCAAAGAAGAACATTTTTACAACGGGGGAGTCTACGTCCTCCGAGGATTACAAACTTAAAAACAAAATTACAAAAAGAACCTGGATGAAAAAGACGACACCGAATATCACATCACATGGATGTTAAACAAAATGGCGGCACAAATGGTAAACGCTTTTTATAAATTGCAATTTTTTTGTTTGTTTTAGATATTAATTCATACTCCGTCGTTCAGCTTTAAAAAATACACAGTATACACTGTGATACAGGCTATTTACTGGTTTATAACTGAATCATGTATATAATTTGATGTCTGGAGACATATACAGATTTTTCCAGTATTTATTGTACAGTATGTACTGTAAAACAGGCTAGTTAATGGTTTATAACTGAGTCATATGTATGACAATGCCTGTGGATTCATGTGGATCCTTTTTCTGTTTATTATGCCCGACACTGGAACATGGGTTTTTTGTAGTGTCAAGAGCAATCACATTGCCTAATTATAGGATGTTACCCAGATAACAATTATAGATTCTTAGCATATTCTTAGTATATACTTTTTAAGAATACGCATAAGCTGATAATATACTTTATTTGCATATGTTACGTGTGCAATAAGTATCTACTTTCATTTGATAGTACGTTCTATGTATATGCTAAGTATTTAAATATAGCATATGCTAGGCATGTACTAGATACCCTAATACAGGATGTTTCACTAATACTGAACATTAAAGAATAAGTGTATATACTGAAAGTCGTGACCATTTTTTAAATCTTTATTTCCAAAATTTCGTACTTATTCTTATTTTTATTACAAATTCTTTCTTTGGCCTTAACCAACCAATATTTTATTGTATCAATGGCTTGAGTTTCATTTGCTTGCTTCCATTGGATCTTTATTGAAACTAAAAAATAAAAAAATCAACAAACTTTGTACATGTACAAATTAAGTGTACATAGCTAATGGAATATTTTAAACATTTTTGTCGACCGTAAAATTATTAAAAATTGTACATGGCATTCTACTAACAAAAACAAGAGTTGCATAAATGATTATTATGTATAGTGAACGTTTAAATATATTTTTGTTAATTACTTACCACCATTTTGAAGTTTTCGTCCTCCTTTAGGTAATTTTCTAGTTTTTCCAGGTCAATTGCTGGCCTTACAGGATTCTTTTCATAGAAAGTTCTGGTAACGCTGTATTTTAGTTTCAATTCGCCATTACTATTAACCATGTCTATAGTCACAGGCATTCTGACTGGTCATTGCCAAGCATCTCCATATCATGGGACTGTCAGAATCCGTACTCTGCAGAGGGTACGAACTAGAAGATGAGACCATCGAGCATATCCTTTACGATTGCTCGACGCTCTCATTTATTAGATTTGTGTTCGGCGAGTGTCGACTAACACCGGCCGATATAAGAGAAGCCTTTCTTGGCGATGTTGTCAACTACATTAAATCTGTAGACTGGCTCACGAGCTATGGTGCCTATTATCTTAGGAGTATGCACAATGAGCCTAATGAGGCCTAAGTACCGTGGGGGGTAACCCACCCTCCACACGTTACAGATACAGATAGTATTAACCATATTAATAAATTCATACTGGCAATTAATATTTGGTATATCCTGTGCTCTAACATCACTTTTAGGTCCTAAAAACTTCAAATATAGTAAAATTTGTTTATTTTTATATTGAACATACGATGCAATTAATTTTTATAAATTTATTTATTAAAAACTGAATCGAACAGTGTCGCCAATACCGAAGAAACGATTAGCACAAAACTCCAGCATAAAAAGCGCAATTTTTGATCAAAAAGCGAAACTTTATTACCCACATAAAAAGCCAAAATATTGCCTCAAATATAATTTAAAAGCACAAAATGGAGGATAATGGTTTATGGTAATTCACAAGTAATCACTCCTATACATATATTCAATACGTTTTTGATATATACATTTTCTTAGAAGTGTATTTGTCTGTTTTGAGTATCAAAATTCGTTATTTATAAGAGTAGAAAGGAAAAATATAAAATGTCATTACCAGTCGCCTTTCAAAAAAGGGGCAAAAAAGTGGAGGGTGCAATAAAATCACAACACATAGACAAAAAGTGCAAAAGTTGCGCTTTTTGCGTCTAATTGGCAACACTGGAAACGAGATTAAAAAAAAATTGTGGGAATTGTAGGTTATGTTATTCTTGTTTTTTTTCTTCTATTAAGGTTGTGAATATTTTTTTGGCCTGAACACTCAACAATAGTGCGTTGCTAGTGAATTATCACATTGGCATCTGGGAAAAACTCATATAGATAGATTAAACGTGTGTTTTTATATGTATTTGGTGTTAATTTTTACCTGCAAGCATTCAGAATACATGCTGGGTATATGACTTTTAGTATTTTCTAAGAATGTCCTGTTATAGCACGTGCTCAGTATATACTTTTTGGAATATACTTTTAAGGCACGTACTCAATATATACTTTCTAGAATATACTTTCATAGCATGTATTCAGTATATACTTTCTAGAACATACTTTCAAAGTATATACTAGGTATGTTCTAAGAACATTCTATAAAGGACATACTAAAAAGAACATAAACAGAACGTTCTTAGTATATTTATAGAACATTGATGTTATGTGGATATACATTGTACAAATAATTGAATAAATTTTAATTTTTTCAATTTTTACGATAGTTAAATAAAAAATGTGAAATTTTTACTTTTAGCAGGCTATTAACACATTTTTTATTGATATATTTTTTAATTATTTAGTTTACTTTGTATTTTAAATATAATTGTGTTATTGTAAAACGGACGTACGCAAGTTTCGATGCGCAGTATACTTGATGACAAAACACTCATATGCTATAAACCCCCCTGCGACAGACTATAAAGTATATACAAAGCTCTCCGATCTGGCAAAAATAGAGCCCAAACATTACGTGTCTTGGCGTTACTTTTTAGAGAGCTGCGTGGAGGTGAGACGATGAACGCGAATGGTAAAATCGGTGCACAGATCGTCCCGAAGCGACCAGCTAAAAGATAAATATGCCCTGGCGAGCTTTTGTTAAGTCTTCCAAAGGTCCGCTCTGGACTGGAGTAAGATGCGTTCGCGCGCTATGGATACTATTTAATAATTAAAATTAATAAGATTATTCATAAAAATTATTTTACGTATAATTTAGAATGTCTAAAATAATTTCTGTGAAATGTAAATGAGATACTTGCATGTTTTGGCAGTTCTGCACCTCTACAGTACTTATACACCAGCCGCCACTGGCTGAAACGTTTTCTTGTGTAACGTAGTGCAATTTTGTTTAACGTTATGTTCTTTATGAACTTCGTTTGCAAACAATGCACTAAACTGTATTTTTGTTGTTTGTCATTAAATAGTACGATTCCCAACCGTCATTATAAAGAATGTCGCATCAAGAAGTCAACAAACATATCTGTTGATTAACTTGATTTCTTGATATTTTCTAAATTATGTTTTTTGACGAGTAAGTTTCTTAAAAGAAATTTAATAATTATGTTGTTGTTATCTTTGTTGTCCTAATGCGATGGCTTAAACCCCGAAAGCGCTCGACTTAATTTTAATACATAAAAAAGGGAAATATATTAGGTAATACAATTTCCATCTTCTGCACACTTAATTACAAAAACAGTCATTTCATTTACTATAAAAAAAAATCTAAAAAAAAATTGTTTTTTGAATGCACATTAATTTAACACATTTTTATATATTTTAAATATTTTTAATTTTTAAGTAAACATCAACCTCTAAGCTATGAAGATATACCTTGTTATTGATTTAAAAAAAAATCCTAGATGCTTACTTTTGTGATCACTCTGTAGAAAAATTAATTTTGTTCCAATATAAATGTACCCACCCCATAAAACTGGATCTTACCTTGATATCACGTAACAACTCACAAAGTATAGGTAGGTACACCTTGAAAAAAAAACTAAATAGGAAATTAACATAAAACAGAGTAAATGACTATTTTCATCACACCCATCATAAATTTGTTATGTTCAACATTCGATAATATTGTTAAAAAATGTTAAATAATATTCAAAAATCATATTAGGAATGTTAATTTTGAATCCATAATTACCTACATACCTACCATTTTATTTTGAGAAAGCAAAATATCAACATATCAAAAATTATTTGAACTCTTAAAAGTTTAGACATTTATTAGGAATTCTTGAATATCAAATACAAGAGACAATGAACATTTTTTAAATTAAATATATAAATTCAATAAGGTATAAAAAAATGTATTTTAAAATATAGAACTTATTACCAGTATACAGTACCTCCGTATAGTAATGTCCAGATATGGAACCCCCTTACGGAATATAATTTCCAACTAAAAATCTTACTCTAAATTCGGGGAGAGTTCACACATCTAAAATATT